AAATTGATCGACACGTTGATCGGCTTTTCGAACCATGCAGTTCAACCTGACACACGTATTTACACTAACGAACGATTTTGCCGATTGTCCAACGCCGAGAGCGAGGAAATAGCTTAATAAAAATGTTTATGCAACAAAGATTGCCTTCAATTACCAGGTAATAAGTAGAAAAAATAACGTCCACTTCTTTATGAGTTAACAACAATGAATATTTTTCTCCATCTTCCATTTTGTTTTCCTTTTTCGTGCAATATATGCAAAAAGTTTATTCATTTATTCATATTTTATAAATTTCATATTTCATTGTTTGATCAAAAAAACTTGTTGCTAATAAAATACACGTATAATAATTTCGAATAGAATTTTATACAAATATTTTATATACGAAAGAGTTTATACGGAGGAAGAAAGACAAAAATGAAAAGTTTGACGGTTATTGAAAACGACAGGAGCAATCTCTCTTCGAATCAAGTCAAACTCACTCTCAAACTGTATTTTTCCCGTGAATTCTCCAATATCCATCCTATCTATCCTCGTAATTAGATGCTTCTATATTTATATAAAATTCGAGGCAATACTAAATTTCGTGCGAAATTTTTGATTACACAATGGAGAAAATTTACTTAAATATCACAGAGCACTTTCGATATATTATCTTGCTACAAATTTTACATACAATATCCAATAATCCCCGATTAAATTACCATACACGAAATATCATATTTTAAAAATAGAATTTCGCCTTACAAAAACGTAAATCGTACATACACGAATCAAATTAAATTATCCGCGGGATAACAAAAGTCGCCGATTTTTCCGAGCAAACGATCCTAACCTCAAAATACCTTCCTCTCTATTCCCCCCCACCCCCCAGTCAAACAAACAAACGAATCGCTTTTCGCGCGTCTTCTCGCCAATCTCGTCGAAATAGTATAAAAAACGAAGAAGAAGGAAGGAAAAAAAAAAAAAAAGGGAGGAACTCGTTACAGGACCCGAGGTCGCAATTTGCCCGACTGCCATCAGCTTAATTGGACTCGGCGTAACTTGGACTCGGAGCGGAGTGAATTAACACCTGGGAGGATCGCGGAATTCACGGATCCGGGCTGGCCATGCGGAAACTATGCCCCGAGACACCGCGGGGATATCCGGTTGATGGGGATAGAGGCGTTGAAACGGCGGCGGTGGAAGTAATTTGCAAAGTAAAGGGGCCTCGAGGCCGAGGCGAATCAGCCGAGTTTAATTGCGCGGCCGCCAATTGGCGGGGAACATTTTCTGGTTTAAGGCTCTGCCTCTGATTCGGGGAGGAAGCGGGATGTCCTGGACGCAACGTGCACGGGACACGTTGTAATGATGTTCGAGGGTCGGTTAACGAGATTCGAACGCGTAATGACGGATGGAGTGGGCCCGGTGCGTTTTCGAACGCGCGACCAGCGTGTTTCTGATGGGACGTTCGATCCGATTAATATCTGTGCCGCGTATTGAGGGGAGATCTCAACTGTGGATTGATGAAACACGTGTGTGTTTATCGTCGGTGAAAATTTCAAGTTTGCGAAGCATTTTTTTTTTTCACCAAATTCGAAACGAGTTAATAAATCTTCTTATAATCGATTTTAAGTGATGCTCGATCGAAGAATTAAATGTAAAATTTTCGAACAAATTTTTTCGAACGGGTCGAGTTTCAAATCTTTTCAAGTATAAAATTGTTCCATCGGATTTTTATCTGAAATATTGGAAGAAATTCGTGAGAATAATTGGTGAGATAAGGATGAACGAAAGTATGAAATGTAATGATAATTAACAAATTTTCCTTAATTAATTTAAATAATAAAGAATAACGAAATTTAAAGGTATAATGGATGTTTCGCCGACTTAACTTAACTTTCAATCAATTTAAAAAAAAATTGGTGAAATAAAGAAGGATGAACGAAAGATATAGAATGTAATGATAATTAACAAATGTTCCTTACAATTTAAATAATAAAGGATAACGAAATTTAAAAATAACAAAGTACAGTGGATGTTTCGTTGATTTAACTTAACTTTTTCAATTATCAATTTAAAAAAAAGAAAGCTTCGGACTTACGTTGACCTCGTTGATGAAAATTCATTTATCGCGATAAACGAAGGAACAAAAGATTCCCCTCCCCCTCTCCCCTCCCCAACAATTCTCCAATTCTTCTCTTCTTTTCCCCGACTTCTTTCTTAAGATAATAATCTGTACGAGCAATTGCCAAATTGCTTCCTAATCCGACTGTCTCTTCCGGTTCCTTCGCTGGAGACAAATTCGAAATGGCGCACGGATCGCCCGATTCTCTCTCGTTAAATCAAATCATCGGGGGGGAGGAGTGGAGTAAGTTCAGAAGTGCGAGTGTTTCCGACCGCATCGAGTATCACCCGTCGCTTTCATCATCATGGTGGAAAAGAAGGGGGGGAATGTCGATCGTTATTTAGGCCAGTCGATACGAGCGAGACAGGTATGAATACGAAGGCTGGGCTTCGATGATAATTAACCTAAGTGGAGTGGTATATAAGCCACCTAGCTGTAGCATCCGTGAATGGAATAAAATTAGAACGGATGACCATTGGTTCCATTGGTTATTTAAATAATCGTTGAACTTTGGAAAGGAGGGGAGAGCTTTTTCTTCGTAAAATTCAACTTCGAGCTAACGAATGATACATCGTTATTGCGAAAAGGTACGTTTTTATTATATAACGAAACACATTTTTTCTGGATATCGAAACAAGAAAATAATTATTCTCGAGGTTGTTGGAATTTTTATAAATGTCACGATCTGTATGTTTATGAAAACGATAAATATATATAGATAGATGTACAAAATTTTTGTGAAAATCGCTTTCCAACCAATTTCCATTTTAAACTCCACAGAATTGTTTGAATTTGTAAAATCGAAGAACGATTTACTTTCCACTCTACAAAAACAAAAATCGTCGTTGTTGTTGCAATTTGTATCAATTCGACAGAAAATTATGATATTTAAAGAAAAGTTACATTTTCAAACGACGTACGATACATTTCCAACGATCAAAGGAACGCGTACGCAAAGCATGATATCAATTAACGTGATAATCGACGTTGCATGAACGTAATTACGGAGGCAAAAGAGTACAGAGAGAGAGAGGATGATGGGACACGATGAGGACTCTTTGCGCCAAAATTTGGAACCGATCGTTGTTTGCATCGTTTAACTTTTTTTTTTTCCTACCGTCTCCATTTTTCTTTCCTTTGATACATATAAAGCGATATCGAGCGCGCTAAAACCAGCCAGGAGAAGGAAGCCTGGTGAAAATCAATTCCCTCCCGTGCGAGCGATGAACAAAAATATTGGCCCATTCGAGCACAATTTTCTGGGTATTACGCGGTATCGGGGCCACGTTTAGCTGGATCTTGAATAACCGTCGTTCATTCGATCGCTTAAATTGCTTATAGCGCTCACGTCTCGATAATTTTTCTCTAAAATGTCTGCCGTTCTCGTTTCGAATTCTTGTTAAAAATCTCTTGTTCTACAGATTCTGCAAAATTAGAGGAATTTCGAGGAATCGTCCTTCTTATCATAGAATGCAATATCAATTTACAATTAATTATGGAGTTTAAATAGTTTCGTATTTAATCTGAAAAAAATTTCAATCTCTCTGTTGAAATTCGAATGATCGTAAACGAGATGTTCAACGAACGAAGAAGAAATTCATTCTCTTCCAGAGATATCACGAATGTCCACCAGCATCTCGTTGAAACGGGATGATCGATGCCAAGTTGGAAGTTGTTCCACGAGATTGAATTAGGTGGTATGAATGGGCACAAACGGTGCGTTTAAGTGATAAATGATTACGATCTTTAGATGGCCACTATCCCCCCACCCTTATTGTCTCGAACGATTGCATCGTGCATTCCAAAGGAATCCCCAATAAACGCCCTCCTCCTCGATGTAATATCGTTTCTTACGAGCTGTATTTTATCGGGAAATAATGGAAGCACGTAGCTAAGTCGGCGTGCTTAACGTCCACGATCGTCGCCAAGATTTAAAGATCCGACCGTATCTATCTCTAAAATAAAATTGAACCACCAGTTTTGGAGAAGAAGCTGTGGAAAAAAATAGAAGGATCGAATCTCGAAATCGAAAGCTGGATTCTGAGAGAGATGATTCACAAGATGTTTAATAACTTTATCGTATATAAAAATCAAATTAAATATTTCACTCGAAAAGGGTATATCCTTCCTACGTATAATTGATGCATTTGCGTTGATACAAAAATATCGATAAGTACTTTGTCTATTATATTTTGATCTAAAACAATAGATACCATTGTTTTCTCGTACAATTGTCCATAATTACAATATTAATTATATTATTATTCGTCTTTAAAATCTTCAAAATGTTGCATCATTTTCGTGATAATCGTGATAAGTCTAATACGGACGATCGAAAATAATTGGAATGGAAAAGCGGTTTAATTCAATTGCACGGGCTGGGACGGTTCGATTGTCGCGAATACGGGATGGAAAAGATCTTCTCGGATCGTAGGAATTTGGAAAGGTTTGTTTCGTCGATAAAGCGTAGAATGTTTATAGGTTAGGAGGGAGCCCGAGGGAGCCCGTTCCGAAAGGGCCGATCTTTATCCAAATCTCCAGCCCATTGTGTACGATTGTCACACAATTCAGGATACTTGGAGGGCAAGTTTGGAAATTCCACCTTAAATGCAAATTCGACGGTCCATAACTAACCGATTCGAAACCGTGAGATCGCTCGCCAAGATAAATTAATACGAGAAGTTATTCCAGGCGAAATGAATTCTTTCCTTAAATTTTACTCTTTCTTTTTCTCTCTCTCTCTCGAGACGTTTCGATAATTTCCAACAATCTTTTTCATAAAAAAGTCACGTCTACTTTCGAAATCTCCTACTAATTTTTTCGAGAAATCTATCGATTGATTTCCACGAAGAAAAAAAAAAAGAGTCGATAAAAGACTATTTCGCACACTTACAGATACGATTTCTTCTGGTCCCAAGAAACTATCTCCGTGACGACAAAGCGGCCGGAAGTGAGGGCGGTTTTCCTCGGCGAGCCCGAAGAAACGTTGGTAATTGCGACTGCATGCCTCCAGTAAGTTCCGTCGCGTTGCCTTTTCGGCAGAATCGTAAGAAACGTGTCCCCGTCATCGCTGAACATCGGTGGCTCGAACTGTTCCACCCATCCGTGACTCTCTACGTGCGTCAGCGCCTGCGAAGATGAATATTTCATTCGTACATATATATATATATGTGTGTGTGTACACCTTCTCCTTTTTCTTTCGTGGTGAAAACGATGGTGAAATATTGCGCGCCGTTGAATTCGACAATCTTCTTTCCATGCATGGGAAGAGGGAAGGTTTTCGACCGAGAAGATGGAAATTTCGCGATTTTGGATAATTGTGAAACAGATGGTGATGGATCGAGTCGTTGAATTAATGGAGGAATTAATTTTGGTGGAAAACATCATGGTGGAATTCTTTGAAAGAAAATTGAAAGATTGGTATTTTAGATTATTGGAAAATTAACGGTTCGTTTTGAAGATTGAATCGGTTAACGTTTATATAATAATTGTTTCTTTATTTCTTTTACTCGGAGGAAACTCTTTATATTTGAAGTATAATTGAGAAAAAGGACGTAAGGATTAAAATTTTGTCGAAAAAATATTATCACTTGTATCACCTTAATTATTAATATTCTCTCAGGTATTCACGATGATAGAAATATTCCAGTTTTAATCGAATGAAACAAATAATTCCACTAATTTCGCGACCGAAATTTCCCATTCTCAAAACTCCTATTCCACACGACTGTACGATGAAAATCGCGATACTTTCAACACGAACCGCGAACCTAATTAAACCCGGTTAAAAAGTTTGTCTTTTACCGGTTATAAAACCGTCGTGAAATTTTAAATGAAGAAGAAACCAGAGGAATCGCGAGGAATTCTCGTTTTTCTTGGATATACCTTGGATGAATAAAAAAAAGAGAAAAAGAAAAATTGGTACAAGCTTCGTGCCTCGTACTTTTATCAAGGAATAGAAATTAGTTGCTTAACTGTTGTATCACGCAGAGCAAACAAAAACGAGTCTCGCCCCTCTTCAATTCTATTGTCATTCGACGAGAAAAAGAAGAGATTTCGAGGAAAGAATTATTCGACGAACTGTTTCAAATTACTCGACAACAATTTCAAGATGATTTGATTACTTATAACAATTAAATTTAATATTTATACACTTACGGTTGTGCAGTTGGGTAGCTGGCCATGGACGTAACAGAAATGGAAGTACGCCCTGTTTTGCACCCTGTTCATCCAGGTAGCGTACACGAGATTATCGGTGGGAAAAGCAACAGCGGATAAAATCCGCTCCTCGGTGGATAACTTGTTCGGATGTTCGATTTCGGTTAAGTTCGTGTTACCCTGGATCACTTTCTCCAAGTCGACGTAGAACAGCTTCACCGTAGGATTGGTCGTCCCGCTCTGGAACAGTGGAGAGGGGGGGGGCTTAGTCGAGGTTTCGATCAATCCTCCTGTTGTAATAACGTCGCAAAACACGGCCTCGGGCCTTCTATACACGCGTTTAACGACATGTTAACGAGATGTCGCTCCATTTATTTCGATAAATGGAACGGTTTCAATTCGTTTTTTTTTTATTCTGGTAATTTAAAATAGTAGTAATTTAAACCATAGTTTCGATGATTCAAAAAAAGCGAATTCCGCTTTTTTAATATTGGCATCGATACATAATTTTTCACAAAGTATAAAAATATAGAAAAATACGAATGCACATTCATACATTGATCGCAATGGAATTTTTCTTTGAATTTGGAAGGAAGGATTTACAGTATATACACACATACTTTTATTTTAAAATTAAAACGTTCATAGCTTCGTCGAATTATTGAAAATTCCATTCGTATCGAAAAATTTCCATCCGTAGATTAAAACTATGCTAGTTATTCGAATAACATCGAATATCGAAGTAAACGAACGATAGTTTATAATCTAATGTTTCACCATATTAATAACACTTATTACGAAACCGATACAAATCTAATAATTTTCACATATGCAAATGAGATTTGCAATATGATTTTATTTATTAAGATGAAACGAAAGCGTATATAACGAATTTAACGATACTTGCTCTTCGATTATTCTTCGAAAAATGGAGGAGCGAGAATTGGACAAGCGTTGCAGTGAACGAAAATTAAATTATTTCCCTCCCTAATTGAATGAAAATTCGCGGCCGATTGGGGAGAGATCGGAGGGGAAACTGGCATATCGATAACTGCCATTTTCCTGGATAATTCCTGGATAAGGAATTGAAAAATTCTGAAGAATTCGAACGATGCATCTGTATGCACAATATCGAGGATAAGGATTGAAAATATTTCTTCTAAATTCCATCCCGATATTACTCCCCTTTCTTTTCTCACGCTAGATGAAATTTAATTTGATTGGGAAATTATGTAATCGAACCAGCGGCCGGAGTTCGACGAGCTATAAAAATAAATTTATTCAAACGAAGAAGAAGAAATTTTAATCGATCGACACGAGGAACCTGTTTATTTTATCTAATATCGATGAGAAGAATCCTTTCGAAAAGAAAATATTCTAATATCTCGAAATATTCTAATTTCCACGGACGGATGGCTCTTTATTAAAATCGGTTGCTGATAGAATTTTCGCGATAGTTAGCAACATTGTCGCGTAAATTTAATTCTCGGCCGGGAACAATTAAAAATTCACGAAATATCCCGAAGTGAAAATTGAAACGAATCTCGACACGGTGCTGGTACACAATTAAGTCACACGTTTATTAAAAATTTCGACGAAATACGTAAAAAAAAAAAAAAAGAAAAAAAAGTAACATAAAATTCCGAAATATCGCGCAAACGCGATTCTATAATTTATACAAAAAAGAAAAAAATAAAAAATACGTTTAATATTACTTCGTGAATGATTCCAAAAAAAAAAAAACGCAATAAAAGAACGATGATACCTGGGCAAATAATTTTCCATTCGAGCGAAAATGCGGAAAATTCGGTGATCGAGCGTTAAACAAAGTTGAAATTGAAATTATTCACTGCGAAGGATCGAAGCTTCGTTGCCATTTAGACTTCTACGTCTCTCTTCGTACAGGCTGTATCGAGCCTCGAAAAAACGAGGAGAAAGAATCGATGAGGGTTGAGTGTTGTATGCATAAGCGGTTAAGCGAGCGATATTTTCGCAGGCCGGGCCATATTTTGGTTTACCGCAAATCAACAGGACTGGAGGGGTTGAAAAATGCATGGGGGAACGAAGGTCGAAATAAAAGAGATATACGTACGTACGTATATATTTTCCCCAAGGAAGAGGGAAAAAGACGAGGGCACGCTTTGCGTTTGGCCGGTTTGGTCGAGAAATGGAAAGAGGGGAGGGGGGGGGTAAGCAAAAAAAGTCAATTGGAGAGGATTCTTGGCTTGGAAACGAGTCGATGCGTTTAAAATTTATTATAGGGGAATCGGACAATGCTCCGGCCGAATAAAATTGGCCGCATTAAATTCGTGAAATTGCAAAAGTTTTGGAGAGAATATTTTTTGCACGCTTTGACGCCGCGTGATAAATGGAACGATAAAATGTCATAATTGCCGTCGGATATCGGAATTAGCGCTTTTTTTTAATACGTCGAAGAAATGAATGAACGGTATTCACGGGTGACGATTTTCTTCCTTTTGATCCGTTCAGAGTGAAATTTATAAATAAGTAAATTTACGATACAACGAAAATAATAAACAATTTAGTATAGATCGATCATTTGTCCATTATATTGTATTAAGAATAACATTTAACAAGAACGATCATTGCGCATTCGTATCGATGAAAGAAGATGGATAACGTTAAAATAGAAAAGAAAAAGAAGGAAACGGAATTCCATCATTTCAGAGTATTTAACGATAAAAATTTGCATCATTTTCTATTATTATTATTCTTATTATTATATTATGAGAATAACATTTAACAAGAAACGTGTCGATGAAAGGAAAAGAGTTAAAATAGAAAAGAAAAAGAAGGAAACGGAATTCGATCATTTTTCAATAAAAATTGAACGTTTACCGTACTTCCACCGATTTTTCTGGCGATTCAAAGGCACGGATGCGGGTACCTTTCCTCGATGCAACATTCGTCGAAACAAACAAAGGAAACTGACGAACGTCTCGTTTGTGGCGAAAATTCACCATCCGTCCCGCTTCTGGTTAAAAGTGAATCGATGAAGGAAAATAATTTTACCGGCCAACAAGGAAGGAAGGAGGAACGTCCCGCCGCGGGAAACAGAGACGTCGCTCGAGGGTTGGATGGAAGGAAATGGAAATTTAAATCTTCCCTCAACGTTGTCGAGGCCTCGGATCCTCTCTCTCCCTCTCTCTTTGTGTGTGTGTGTGTGTGTGTGTCTGAGTCGGATTGGTCCTTTAGCCATTCCCTATCCGTTTTCTTTTTTCCACCCTTAAACTCCTCGCCTGTCCTCTCTCATTGTGAAATCTCTGTGATCTTTAAATGGACTCTTTGCTCCCACGGATTTCAGATTCGTGACGAGTATCAAAGTAGGCCACTTTGTCCGTTGGAAAATGAGTTTTCGTGAACACGTACTTGGAGGGGAAAAAGGAAAAGGAGAGAGAGAGAGAGAGAGAGAGAG